GCGAAACATTTACACCAATTTCCTTGTCATTCGCTGCTTTTGGTTGCATTGGTTGGAGTGCTCCGAACATCATGTGTTTAGAACAACCAAATCTTTTGGTGGCACCGTAATTTTTCTTTTGTTATTCAGCTAGCTCATTGCCTTCGATGCCCACATGCTCTGGCATCTAGTTAATGTGGACACTTCTTTTCACATACAGTCTTTTGATCGCCTCTCGTTCAACCATAGACGACTTCGTGCCGTGCGGAGGTAAAGATTTAATAGCTGCTTGGCTATATGTAATTATGTATATTCTGCTCCCTTCAGTAGCCTTACCGCCAAATAGTAAATATATTTTGTATAGGAAGATTCTGGAATGGTTTGTCAGCTAAACGACTTTCTTATCTCTAGTTGAACGCAGATCCCACTTCAATCTTTATTTACAAGCCATTTGTAAATATGTAAATGAAGAATTTTATCCACGAAACTCAAGTCTTAACTCCAACTTTTCGTCTCTTTCGTACTGGAGAGCATCGCAGAATTATATCGGTTTAACGCAGCGAAGATCAGGCTCGAGAGAGAATGTAAATAGACTTGAAGTACAATCTGAGCAAGAGCTGTTCATGTTTCGTTTACTCGCTCTTCGATATTCGAGTCGACTCGCTGCCACTTAATGCTTAGTTTCGTTATAAAATGATCTATCCCAGCCTTGGTGTGATCTAAGCTGATCAGTGTAAATCATAAATCCCACTGATTCAGCCTCGTTTATTGTTTGCTTCAGGTGCCTCATTTTCCAGAGATTACAATGCTACGCCTGATCTCCATCGCTTTTGGGATTTTCTGCAGCTTAACGAAGCGTGTACTCACTCCACGGGAACATGGTTGACTCTTATCTCTTCGAAACCGTTAAAACTGCTTTAAAAATATTAATAAATCTAGTACCTAATATTCTGCATTTGCATGTCTTCAGACATTAATGATAAATTGATTAAGTGATCCGCCTTCGCTTTTCTCTATGGAATTTGCCGCAACTCTTTTGCAATGCTTTTAAATCATTTGCAAAGGAAGTGAATGTCTTATCGCGCGGTGAACACCAAACGAAACCACAGACAAAGAATTTCCACCACGACCATACGGAAATTCATAAATTATTGCAGATCTAACAAATTGACTAAGCTAAAATAAAAAAAGAAAAGAAACAAGAAAAAAAATGAATAAAAAAAGAATTCAAAGAATTGTCTAGAAATAAGCATAAAAGTATGTCAGTACCGTTAGTCTTCGCTTCTTTCACACACAGCTATGCAAGTATTTGGCATACAATAACGGTTTATTGGTCTCTTCTGCTCGTGCTATTATTTTGAACAACTGTTGCATCTTTGATTAGAAAGGCATGCTTGTCTCAACTCCTACGCTCAGCTTTCTTCTTTGTACAATATATTGTGGAGGCTGGCGACGTGGCTGGCCGACATCTGTCGACTGGTTGTTTAGCGTTTTTCTAGCATTTTCATTGTCATTTCTTTTCGTTTTTGTTTTTTTTTTTTGCAATGTCTAACAATGATATTTCAATTGGTAAGCTGCTTTCAGAGGAAGGAAGTCATTAACAAGTCAAGCGAATAGCATAAAACCGTATATGTATCTACATATGTGTGTGTTTATGTACACATCATAATTATTTATGCACACTTTTAGTATATTATTTGATTTTTTTCTTGCACTCTCGGTTACATACACATATGTATATATGGATTTACATATGTATCTATTTAGTACAGTTAAAGATTTTATTCGAAAATTTCGAGCAGCTCGATTATTTGAGTAACGAGTGTACTCGCTCACTCGATGCCCGGGATTCTAGAGCTCACGTATCTCTAGTATTTGTATTTGACCCATTTTGTACGTGAATTTTGGCTGAGCTCAAATTTGACAGCTGTCATGGAAATATTTGCAACATTTGTAAGAAAAATGCTTAGAGCACTTAAATTAAATTATTAGTTTTTTTTTTTTGAGAGCTCAAACAAACACACTTACTCCTTTAAAATGTGCTTAATTAGTTTGAGTTTTCATTTTAAAAATTCTAAAATTTTATCCTACTCTTTTGTCATATTCTGATACACATGTGAGTGTGCCAAAATTATGCAAATTTCTTTTTTAATGTATTTAAGTGGTTAAAAGATACATCTGTCTTATATAAATATACATACATATTTTTTTTGTATGTACATATGTACATATAAATATTTCTTGTATGACTTAATCGCCCACAAAGCGTGACTAAGGAAATTTTTTGAAAAATTGCAAAGAGCGTGGTATATGCGATTATGTCGTAATATAATATTATAAAAAAATTATACTAAAGAAATTAAATAAATTAGTGCGTCACCAAGAGTAAATTTAATGACTAAATTCTCTGAAAATAAAAAAAAATACTTTTTAAGCCATCGCAAATACAGGCGTAAAAAATACTGTAATTGTTTTAATATTAACTATTTTTTGCCCTTCATATATACATATGTACGAGTACATACACATATTATATATATTTTTTTTTAATTTTTGAAAATTAAATTCACAGGCCTCTCTTGAGGCCAACTTCTCACCATTAAACGCGTTCGCCATGGACAGGAGAAAATGGTAATCACTTGGTGCCAGGTCCGCACTATAAGGTGGGTGCACTTGGACCTCCCATCCGAGCTCTTGGAGCTTCTGGCGCGTCACCAAAGACTTGTGTGGCCTGGCATTGTTCCGATGGAACGCAATTCGGGCTCTGTTGATCAAACATGGCCTCTTCTAGATGAGTGCAGCCTTCAAGCGGTCCATTTCGTGGCAGTAGAGGGCCGAATTGAGCGTTTGGCCATAGGGGCGCAGCTCGTAGTAAATGATTCCTTTTCAATCCCACCAAACACACAGCAAAACCTTCCTGGTCGTCAATCCGGTCTTGGCTACCGCCTGGGCCGCTTCCCCGATCTTTGACCACGACCGTTTGCGCTCGATGTTGTCGTAAGTGGCCCATTTTTCATCGGCAGTCACAAGCCGCTTCAGAAACGTGTCGATTTTGTTGCCATTCAGCAGCGTTTCGCAGATGGAAATTTAGTCCATCATGTTTTTTGTGTTAGTTCGTGTGGCACCCAAACATCGAGCTTCTTTTTGAATCCAAAGTTATGCAAATGGTTCCAAGCAGTTTTCTGGCTTATCTGTAGTTCCTCAGCAATTAAATAAGTGCTCACGTGAAGGTCTGTTTCCACTATTTCTATGATTTTATCGCAGTTTTCGTCGACAGGCCTTCGACGCCTGATGCATCTTTGACATCGAAATTACCGGAACGAAACCTAGCAAACCAGTTTTGTTCTACACGTTCGTACAGTATCGGGCCCTTTTCGCCTTGATCGAAGAATAATTGTAAAATATAGCGAATTTCCTCTTTGCTGGTGTCCATCTTTGACGAGCGCTCACAACGTATTGAGTCAATCAATCGAAAAGCTCAAAAAGACAGACTTTTAGCGCGTAACACTAGTACTAGATAAAAACCGAAGGAACCTTTAACTTCACCAATATTTAAAAAAAAAATAATCACCGGAAATTAGGCAAGAATATTTATAGCCATCTTTAATTCGCCAAAAAAAGATTTTTTCCAATTAATTTTTTTTCTTGTTGTTCAGACGCTAAAGTTTTTTTTTTTAAACTAATGCCTTCATATTTTCATTATTATTATTTCTTCATATTTTTTACAGGTGTGCACATTTCTTTTTATAATAATTTACAAATCTCTTAAGGCGCTCTACCAGCTGCCAACTACTTTTTGTCTTATAGTCCTTAATATAAAAATGACTATAATTTACCTGATTGTTATATATTTTTTTAAATTTTCTGTTTTATGCTTTTACAAGCTCATTCTTGTTCCAGTACGTGATTTGCTTTGTTGTTTTTTTTTTTTTTTTGAGTCATATTTACGCTAAAGCCTAATGAGTTTCCGCACTTTTTTTGGCATTCTTTGTTAATTATTACATCACAGCCGTTTAAGTACCTAAAACGAGTTATACCTTAATTATATGAAGTTTATGATAACAGCTGTTCACATACATAACGTCATTAGTAGAAAAGACTACGCCATTTAAATTTTTTGTGCTAATTTTTGGGGTGATCACAGTAGGAGTGATGGAGTAAGAAAAATAAAGCGTAAAATTTGAAATGAAACTTAAAATGTTGCTCTTATTTTTTGTATGCTTGCGGTCATACATATTTTTCCAAAAAAAAACATAATAATTTAGCAACGTAATTAAGAGTGTTTATATACCCCCTATGCTGAAATCTTAACGAAAAATCTTACTCCCAAAGCACTAATTATGAGTTTAACCATTAACTAGGCATTAGTGCTGTTCCAAGTAGCCTTTACTTTGGTTATATTAAATGTCATGCCATACAATTAATGTCAAGTTATACATTAACGGCATTTACGCTGATATTCCAACTATAAGATAAAGCTACCCCAAATTTACTATGAAATCGCTGTACTGAGAAATTGAAATAAAATAAAAAATATTTTTTTTTGCAAAAAAAAAAGAAGGAAAATAATGTTGGGAAAGCCCCAATTCGAAAATGTCTTGTCCGCAAAATGATAAAGTAGCCGATATACATATAAATGCATTTGTAGAAAAATAAAACTTTTAAGAGTAATAAATAATGATAAAAATTTTGTAATAATTTTTTTATGTAAAAAATATTACAACAGCAAAATTTATTCTCTATATTTTATATTTTATAAATTTGTATATATAAATATATTTTTATACCACAACTAAACTAAATTATATAACTCTCTCTTTCTCTCTCTACTCTTTTTTACATGCTTACGATATAAAAAAAATAACGGAACTACATACATATACATAAAATTTGCTTCAATCTACAACCAAATTGTTTATACTGTATATACAAAAATATCTCTACCAACTATCGCTTATTAATGCTTACATTATAACACAAATTTTAAATATCAAATACAATAATTTAAATTTAAATAGCAGTTCTACTAAAAAGACTACAACAAAGACCAGCAGCAGGTACATAGAAAAAAATGTGTATATTTTGGCTATTTTCGAGATATTTTAATTTTAATTATTTTATTTTGTTATTATTTTTTTTTGCTTGCCACAAGCCTTGTTATACCTGCATGCGATATCATAAAGCAATTTTTCACTACACAAGGCATATTTATAAAAAAAATATTTTAAGCTAAATTTCTGCACGTCAAAAAGGCACTTAAATAACTCATTTGAACATCAAGAATTACTAAAAAAAAATTAATTTAATACTGGAAAAATATTCTTTGTATAATTTCGCAAAGAAATGGGTGTCAAGCACCTTTCTGGTTATGCAAATTTTAAATTTCTGTGTATTCAAACATAAAACAAGAAATTTATGTATAGATTTGAATGGTTAATATGTATGTGATACATGCTGAGTTTTAATAAACGCTTTGATAGCTTTCAAATTTATTACACTACTGTTTATGAAAATACATTATAAATTTTTTTATTTGATTTTATTTCATTTTATGCTGTTGAGAGACACAGACAGTCCTTGGTTGCAATTTCTAAAAATTCTCACAAAGTTCCATTACGTGAAAGTGGCATAACTAATTTTATTTTATTTTTTTATGCCACAACAACAAGTACATTTTTGAGGCATTAGAGTATGACATAGGATAATGGCATTAAAAAAAATTTTGGCGCAACTGCCAAATTCCATTCTGCCAAATCATTTGTTCGTTTTAATGTGAAATAGAAAATATAAAAAATAAAGCAAATACAAATTTAAATTAAATTAAATAAAAAGAAGAAAGTAAAATAAAATAGAACAGAAGAACAAAAAAATATACATATAATAAATTAAAGTAAAATATAATAAAATATGCGAATATAAAATAAGCTACAAAAAATTATAAAAATCACATTAAATAAAATAAAACAACATAAATAAAATAAAATAAATAAAATAAAATAAATAAAATAAAATAAAATAAAATAAAATAAAATAAAATAAAATAAAATAAAGTAAAATGATATAAAATAAAATAAAATAAAATAGTTTGAGATAAAATAAAAAATTCAAAATAAAAAAAATATAAAATATTTAAAATGAAACAAATTATTAATTAAATATTCAAAAATACATATTATGCCCCATCTGTAGGTAGATACAGGTACAGACATAAATATTGTGTAAATAATACAAATTTACATTCAGATTAATTGACACGTCTCATTAATTGCATTCTTCGTATTTCATGACGCATTCATGACCGTCATATATTTGCCTATGTATTAGTAAAAATTATGCATGTATTTCAACAATTTTTTTTTTTTATACTAAAAATAGTGAAAATAAATATCTTCACATTTCACTGCAAGCACACAAATACTTAACAACAGCTGCCATAAACATGAAGAACATTAAAACTACAAAATAATTATAAGATTAAAATAAATTTAGAAAAAGTGAAAAAATTAAGTCAATTCAATTTAAAATAAAATTCATGTACCAATTTTAAATGCAGCCAGACAATGAACAATATTCCCCTTTCGCACTAGCGGTTCGTTATATTTCTCTTGCCACAGACTTTTCTTCATGTTGTTACCATTTTATAGCCTAGCGCCAATGCCATGGGGGTCTTACACCTCAGATGTATGTACATATGTATGTATGTACATATGAGCGATTGCTATTTTTGTCTCTTATGCATGAGTTGTATGTCGTTGTTGCATGCAACAAATGTTTGGCAGCTGTGGCAATGTAGAATGCATTAAATACATTTTTATTTACAAATGCACATACTCATACACATGATCAAAGGTAAACAAATTAAAATGCCAATAAGGCGCCGATATGACTTCTATACTATATGTATTTACATTTGTATGTGGGGAATTTGAGTATCAGTTGCATGCGTGCATGCTCCCGTGGGAGTAGTTTATGCATGAACTCACAACTTAAAACATTGCACATGCCCAGTAGGAAATTAGAGTGAATTTTTTTTTATTGATTTCGAAAATTCGATTTTTATTCAAACCAAATGCCATTTTAATGGAAATTTGATATATAACAGTTTTTTATATCGAAATAATTATATGAAAGTAGGGTTTTATCGGCAAAACTACTTGGCCCATTTATTAAAAATTTTCGTTGCGAGTTTAATTGATTCGGTATATTTCTGAGTTGTTTTTGTATATGATATTGTGTTTTATTTTATATCAATGAATTCTACTTACTCTTCATTTTTCCTACGGGGTATTTGTATTCGCATTTTACTCCCCCTTTGGACTTAAACTATGCTTCTCTCGACGCGTAGCAGTGTAGCGTGTTTTTGGGGGTACATACGTACATATGTTTTTCATCAAATCGCGTCAATGGCTCAATGAACCACAAAGCGTCGCGTAAATGTCATTGAGAGCGTATGTAACAGTAAAATAACACATTTATCTGTAAAAGTTCTTGCATATGTAAGACAAACATTGCTGCTTTATTGCACGTGCTGCCGGAAACGGAAGTGGCAACTGACGACAGTCAACAAGTCAACGCATTTGGGGGTGTTTTTCTATAAATTGATTCCTATTTTTAATTCTAAATGCAAATGGTGCGTCAAATTAGTGCCGTATAAATATTTAGAAACTCTTCGTATTCGATATCAGTATCAAATTGTTAATAAAGTGGGACGGTTTGTTTGGCAGATTACTTATTTTTCCAATTTTTCAATAAAGTTTTGATTTTATAAAATTTATTAGTTAATTAATTCAAGAAGACAAACGTGTAATTTAATATACAGTGATTAATAATGCATTCCTATACACGCACCTATGAAACACATACACGCACGCACTCCACTAGGTAATTAAATTAAATAATTTATTTAAAAAATAAAAATAAAAAAAATAAATAAAAAAGATTAAAAAATTAATTGAAATAAAAAGTATCAAAATTAAATAAATTTGAAAAGGTTAAAAAAAGTTTAAAAATTATACACACAAAAATTAAAAAATATAAAATCATAACAAAAAAAGATCAACAAATAAAAAATAAGAAAATAAGAAAAAAGTAAAAAAAAAATTTTAAATATATAAAATTTTAAAAAATATGGAAAAAATTAAAAAAACAGTAGAAAAGTGAAATAAAGAATTAAAAAATAGAAATGAATAAATTAATGTATTTAAAAAGATAAAAAAAAAATACAAAAAAGAAAAAAGTGAAAAAACTGAAATACAGGTGATATAAAAAGGACTTAAAAATAATAAAGTGTAAAAAACTAAAACATTTAAATTAAAGGAAATTAAAATTGTTAAAAATTTATTTAAATTTTTTCAAATAATTAAACAAAAAATTGAACAAGTTTGAAAAATTAAAAAAGACTTGAATCAAATCAAAATCAATTAAATAAATTAAAAACAAATCAAATTTTAACAAATCCAAGACTTGAGAGGTAATAAAAAAATTAAAAACTTATTAAAAAAAATTGAAATAATTAACAAAAATATTTTAGAGATTGAAAAAAATTAAAAGTCTGAAAAAATTAAAGAAAAAAGAATTTAAATTAAATAAATTAAAAAATCTCGAAATTTTACTAAATTAAAAAATATTATGTAATTATATTTTTTTAATCTGTAAAATTATGTAAAAAAAAAATCCAAAATTAATAAAATATAAGAAAAATGCATGTAAAAAGGAAATTGTTTAAAAAATATCAAAATTTAAACATGTTGAATAAAATTAAAAATTAATAGAAAATTTAATTAAAAAAGAAAAAAAAATAAATAAAAAAGATAAGAAAATAAAATGCATGTGAATGAAATAAATAAAATTAATAAAAAAAAATAAATAAAATAAAAAGAAATAGAAATAAAAATGAAAAAAAAAAAACAAATACAAATGTTAAACATAATAAATTAATAAATAACTATAAAAATATTAAAAAGATATAGCGTAGCAATTTAAAATGTAAAACAAAAAATTTAAATGTGTGCATGTGTTTTAATATAAGTTGAATTTTAAGTATGGGTTGCTATAAAAAATGACTAATATTATTCCTAACCGCTTGCAACATTTTTTTTCACTTGAAAAAAAAAGAAATCAAGTACATCTTATTGTTTCATCTTTTCATAATCACTTTCCTTATTTTTCGTGTTTAATTATTGTATATAAAATAATAATATTCGTATATAATTTCATATTTTATGTTTAAACAATTTTTTTGTGCAATGTTTTTTAATATTAAATTTATTTATTTATTTCTCTCTTAATTTTCAGCTCACAAAACTCTCTCTCCCGACCAGCACCCAGACAGAACTACATCTCTGACATCAGTTCTCCACTTATTCAGGTAAGGTGTTTCTTCTTCTTCTTCTTCTTCTCATTATTATTATATTTTAATTTAATATTAATAATCAAAAAAGCACTTGAATAATGCACACACAATCTGCAGGAGAAATTCAGGAAACTATTTGTATATTTATTTTATTAAAAAAAAAAATTTAATTTAAAAAACTAGAAAAGTCAAAAAGAAATTAAATTTTAACGCATTTAATATTATTTTTTTAATAATTAAATACACATAATAACAAAAAAAACATATTTTTTTATTGTGCAATGTTTCATTTAAAATTTAAAAAAATTGAGTTAAATTAATTTTAAGCATTAATTAATTTTATAATATATTTTCCACGTCTTCCAATTGTATTCTTTAAACTTTCCAACTAAAACGCCATTGCATAAAAGGATTTTCTTACTAAACAATATTACGTGCTTGGAACCCGGTTAAGTGCGGTAATTAAATTTTTTATTGTTAATTTTTTAAGGATGCATAATTTCTGAACTACTCGCGCAAAAAAAAATTAAAACAACAAATTAAAAAAAATAATTGTTGAATAGAAAAAGTAAGCATTAATTTAATAATACAAAAACAATGCTGCTTTTATTATTTTTTTTGAGCAAAATCAAATTTGCTTATTTTTTTGTGTCAAAAATTAATTTTTTTACATTAAAATAAAAATTTTGTACTTTCGTGTACACAATTAAAAATGTGTGAAATTTGAAAAAAAAGAAAAATTAACGAATTAAAAAAAAATTGTAGTGAATAATTTTATTTTTGATTACAAACCAATTTATTATTTAATTTTAATTAATTATGATTATTTGAGTTTAATGAAATTCTAAACCAATTTATTATTAAATTAATTATAATTATTTATAAATTATTATAATTATTTATGCTTAATGAAAACTCTAATTTTTCTACTTTTCTTTAGTAAAAAAAAAGCTTCCTACTCAAAAGCAAAATATGCAAAGAAATGCTGACATACCTTTTTTGTAATAGTCAAAATTTTTTTCTAGCGCCAACAAGCTCTACTGCTCCTACTCATGCAGTGTGTGTGCTTATAATTAATTTACAATAGTTAATTCTTTTTTTTAATATAAAATATGACGAAATATTTATTTTTTCTACTTCTATAAAAACGTTTGTCTTTGGTTTTTATTGTTTTTTTCCGTGACCGTAGGAGGATGGCGATAACAAAATGTTGAAATTGCGTTTCGATGTAAGCCAATACGCCCCCGAAGAAATCGTTGTTAAGACTGTGGATCAGAAATTGATGGTAAGTGGATGTTGACGAGCAGAGAAAAATAAAACAAAAATAAAACGAAAAATATTTAAAACACAAAAATTAAGTATGCACGAAATACACAAAATAAAGAATTAGCAATTAAGAAATATAAAATTTAAAAAATAATAAAAATAATAAAAAATTTAATAAAACAAGGTAAAAAATTAAAATAAATAAAAAAGTAAAAATAAAAAAAATTAAAGAATAAAAAAATATAAAAAAATTGAAATGAATGAAAAATATAACAAATAAAAAATGTGAAAAATAAAAAATTAAATAAATAAAATAATATAAAAAAATTAAAATAAATGAAAAAATAAAAAACTATGAAAATTAAACTAAATAAAAAAATATACAAAAGTAAAAAAATTAAAAAAAAAATTAAAAAACTAAAATAAGTAAAAAATAAAAATTAAAATATTAAACAATAAAAAAATAAAAAAATGTGAAAAATTAAAATAAATAAAAAATATAAAAAATAAAAAACATATGAAAATTAAATTAAATAAAAAAATATACAAAAGTAAAAAAATTTAAAAAAAAATAAAAAATATAAAAAAATTAAAAAACAAAAATAAGTAAAAAATAAAAATTAAAAAATTAAACAATAAAAAAATAAAAAAATGTGTAAAAATTAAAATAAATAAAAAATATAAAAAATAAAAAAATATATGAAAATTAAATTATATAACAAAATATACAAAAATAAAAAAATAAAAATTAAAAAGTAAAAAAAATAAAAAAATAGAAAAATAACAAATAAAGTAATAAAAATACAATAGAAGTAGTAAATTATATTAAATTTTAATTTTATTATTTATTTAGTGGATGTCGACACTTGAAAAACATATGTAAAGAAGTAAAATTTTAGAAAAACAGAAAATTATTCCTTTTTATATATTTTTATTTTGCTTTTGCCACATTTCAAAAACATTTGCTGAGCACTGACATTTCGTCAGTTGTTGTTTTTGTCTTGTTTTCACTTTTTTTTATTTATTTACCACTGATTTTATTTATTTTTCATCGCTAACTTGTTCATCATTATTATTCGAACAGACGAGTTTCGTTTAAATCCCACATGCTAATTTATTTTCACTCGTAAATACAAATTTTTAAAATTTATTTGTTGTTTTTTTTTCACCTTACACTCGTCGTATTTGGTGGGTACGTACGCTTGGTTTTCAAGCAAACATATGTATATGTACATATGTATGTATATTTTTGGAAAATGACTCATGGCCGTGTCGCCGTTATGTCGAGCACCAAACACACACAAGCAGTCAATTTCAATAATTTTTGGTTTTTGTTTTTTTTTTGTTTTTTTGAAATAAGCCAAGCGCTCAGCGGCAACAGCCAAACTCTTGCGAAGAATTTTCTAATTTTCAAGATTTTTCTCGAATTATTTAAAAGTGTTTATATGTGTATATACATACGTATGGGTGTTTATGTGCATACCTAAATCATTAAATCTTCGCTCATGACAGCATTTCGCGGTTGTTGTTTATTTGAATATTTTTCTTCTTTTCTCTTTTTTTTTTTTGAATTCGCAAATATCATACATATATATATATGTTCTTTTCACTTATACATATGTACCTTTGTACATACGAGTATATCTGTATTCTTTGGTGGTTGTTGATGCATACATATTCCTATATACTATATACATACATATATAATTGAATTTACCTGCAGCAGCCAGAAACACATACAAATATTTGCGAACAACTAATAACACCTTGTGAAAAAAATTCTTAAAATATTAAAGAAAAAAATTAAAAATCAGCTTTTTGCATATCGCATGCACATCTGCATGTTCGTGTATTTTTAGGTGTAGTAAAAAGAAATCTATTATTTTTGCATGAAATTGAAGGCTTTCATTTTTACTTTTCGTATCCAGCCTTACTGAAATGGTTCCAAACGGTTTTTTTTTTACAATCTTTAGCTCTTGGACTATCGCAACAATGTCGAACTCGATAATGTCGTTGATTTTAACGATATTTTGGACCATTGACCATTCACTTCGTAAAGCATCTGTTACATAAAAATTACCGGAATTGAACCGAAATTGTGCTTGATTGACTGCGAAAGTATCAGGACCTTAAACGCTATACACATTTCCACCCGCCTTGCTGGTGTTTTCGCCCTTAACGAAGATAAACTGTAAAATATAGCTCATTTCCTCTCTTTCCTAGTGTTCAGCTTTGACGAACGCTCAAACAAAACAGAATCAACCAATCATAAAACTGTTAGAGAATCTTTTTTAGTAAAAGATTTCAACTTTCTAACGCCACCTAGCGAAACTCGATCGGACTTATACAACGCGAGAAACAGATAAATAACGTCACCCATTGGAAAAATAATGGATTTCATTTTACTACACCAATATATACATACATATTTATATACAGATACAAAATTATTTGTGCAAGAAGTAAATACTTGTACACATATAGTTTATATATAAAAATTTACACATATGTCTGTATGTACATAAATTATTAAAAAAAAAAAATTATAATTCGCTTGAGTTTAACTGGCAAAATTTAGCTCATAAAGTGAATTGTTTAAAACATTAAATTTTGGTGAATATTTACATTTGGCCAACACGATGAATTTATTCTCAGTAGCAGAATGCGCAAATATCAAATATATAAAAAGAAAAATATTTTATTATTTATATTTTTTTTTCTCTTTCTCTTCACTAACTTGCTATAAACACATTGCCTAAAACCCATTAATTATTTAAGTAGTAAATTTAGCGATTTAAAAATGGCTGCAAAAATGGAGTAAAATAAAAAACCATAATGGTTTGAAATTAAATTAATTTTATTACATAAAGGGTGTTTTTTTTGACATATGGTTTTTAAGATGTCACAAAACGCATATAATTATTTTTTTTTTTTAAATTTAGTTTTATTATAAAGTCAAGTGTGTATTATGTTTTGTAAATGATTTCGGCTGGCTCGTATAAATTCCAGCCAAGAGGCCAAATTTTTCCAGTAATTGTCGGCAAATGTCGGCCTCTTCCAATAAATAAGAGCAATAGAAGCTCTGAGCTCGCGTAAGACACACTCTAGAGCCTTAGTGGTCCGTTACAGTTCGCTTCAGAGGATGCCGTTTTAGCCCCTGTTCACAGATACATAGAGGATAACTACAAAACAAACGAATTTTAAAAAGTCAGTGGACAGATGATATCTGCCTACCCACATGCTACTAAAAGAATATTCTCACCGCGAAGTGACATGGAAATGCTGCAGTCTACATCTGCCTAGATGTAGGAGGAACATTGCCTCTTTCTCCACATCATGTGGGCAGCCCCTACTACGTCTTCCGAATGTGGTTGATAGTTATTGTTGTTGTTGTCGCAACCGCAAAATGTTCTTCAAAGTATATTTGTTAAAAATCTGGGTCGTTCCGGTTTAAAGACCCACGGAAGAATTCTTGAACTCTACTCCGCAAGTCCCTAGTAGTTGTTGTTATAGCGTCGCGTTAATCCCCTTAGGGGCAAGTTAATCAATCTAAGTCAACGAGGTATTCCAACGGGAGGTCCAGGAAACGTGCTGTTTCGGCGGGATCGGACCAGAGGGAGAGGGAAGTTAGATGCGTCAGTTTCGGGGGGTATGTAAAGTGTTGGTTAGTGTCGTGTGTAGAGTGTCTACATGCAGTATATTAATTGAGTAAGTTGCGTCAGTGTAACGCGGATCTCTCGCGGCAGCTCGAGCTGTTTGTCTGCTATGGGTGGTGTTTTTACTCGTAGCATTCCATTAATGGGAAGGGAGGGAGTCTTTGAAGGTATTGGCTGACTCGTGGTGAATGGCGTTCAGTGCTTGTCTGCATGCGGTTGTTCTGGCAAGCTGTTGCTTCTGGCTTCTTCATTTGCGTCTCGTTCGTCGATCGGTGCCCAGATCGGTGGAGCATAGTTAACGAGCGGGCGGTCAATTGCTTTGTAAGTTACCAGCAAGGTTTCTTTATTTTTACCCCAGGTGCTGACGGCTAGTGCTTTCAGTATTTTGTTGCGGCTCTGGAGTTTTACGTCAACTGCGGTCGTATGTGGAGTGAATGAGTGCAGGTTGTCAAGTGCGATTCCCAATGTCTTTGAGTTATTTATGGTCGAAATTTTCATACCACGACTTTCAAGCGTGTATTATTTCGTGAAGCTGGTGGAAAGGATGTTACTGGAAGTTTTGAATCAGGAGATATTGAAACGAAATTTGGAATTTGGAATTATTTTTTTTAAATTATTCGAAGTCTATAAATTTTATACTACCTTTTTTTATATATTTTTTTTCTAAAAAAAAAATTAAAAAATTTTGGGCACATTTTATTTTCATTATGCTGTGAACCAACTGCTTTCCTCTTTTCCTCTTTCCTCTTTGGGTGCATTCAATTGCTATGCGTTAAGAAACACACACACGCACATACATATACATATTTGCCGGCAGTCTTATTATATTGCACTCTCTAAAAAATGCCCACTCGTGATCTCATTTTTAAATTGCAACAAATATTTTGTGAGGCTGATTTTTTTATTCAATTAAATCGGGACAAAAGTGAGTGTTGAAAATTATGATGCTGAAAAAATCATAGATATGTGTAGTACATACAAACATACATGTGTTATATGAATTTACATACACATGTTTATGCATACCTACATACATACATATGTATGTTTGTATGTGCATTATGTCCAACAAAAAAAATAAGGCGCACACTTGAGATGCAAATAAATTTTTTATGTCATAAAAATTGGATTGAATTGCGGCCCACACATTGTCATCTAGACGCAGATAAAACAAAAAATACAACATGTCTGCAATAATCGTGACACAAGCATATAACAACACACTACATGCCTACATACATACATAGTACATACGAAGACACAAAAAAAAAGCACTTCTAATAACCCAATAAACAAAACCCACTTCTAAAGCACGAAACTTTCACTAAAAAAATTTTTTAATTTTCTTCTCTTCTTTTTCTACTTCGTTTTCCTCAGGTGCACGCCAAACATGAAGAGAAATCGGACACAAAGAGCGTCTACAGGGAGTACAATCGTGAGTTCCTCTTACCAAAGGGCGTTAATCCCGAATCCATTCGCTCCTCACTCAGCAAGGATGGTGTCTTGACAGTCGAAGCGCCACTGCCCGCCATTACAGCCGGCGAAACTATGATTCCCATTGCACATAAGTAAAATTAATATATGTATGTAACAAAAAAAAAAAATAACAACAACAACAACAACAAAATCCCAACAACAACAACAACAGCAACGAAATTATTAGCAACAACTAAAAGCTGAAGCAATGGCAGCAAATAATAATTAAAATAAAAACACAACAACAACAAGTGGCAGCTAAGTGGATGCACAGTTAGTTGTATTTGATTAAAGAGAAAGTTCCAAATAATTCAGCTTAATGCAGCTAACAAACAAGCAGTGTACTAGTGACAACAGCAACAACAACAACACATAATTATTTGGCTACTTCTTTTGAATTACTACTTAAAAAATCGTAAATCATTAATTAATTTCCTTTATGAATTAATTATTTTTGCTAATTTTTACGTTATTTTGAATTTGTTTATTTTACACTGTACACCAGCAGTATGATGGATGATAAAAATCCCAAAAAAAAAAAATATACTGATAATGAAGAACTTATTATGTCATGTATTAATCAAACAGAATGATGAAAATGGAAATGAAAAAAATGTAGTAAAAAAAAAACTTTTTTTGTATTTAAATTGATATTAAACTAAAACTGAAACAAAACGAAACATTTTTTTGTGTTTTATTTTAATTTTTTTTGGATTTGTTTTCACTTGATTTATGGATTTATTTATATACTATGAGCAAAAAGTAGAGTGAATTTTTAATTTGAGCTTCGCGCGTTTAATATTTCGGGTTATTTTTTTTTTAATGTTGGCAGCACTGCCACTACGATATCTACGCCAAACAGGCCTATTCTCACTGTTACCGGTAAAGTAAATTTTGTTACTTTTCTTTAACACCCAAAATTGAATTTGGTATTCTGGCGAACTGGTTACAATGTTTGGAAAAAAAATTGGCAGCACTGCTTTTTTCATCCATGTCAAATTACATTTGCCAGTTGATAAAGAAAAATATTCACATCGAAATATGCCTGGACAACAAAAAAAAGCTGAATGAAAACAATATCTTACAAATTAAGGGGCTATTTTTTGTCTCCAAAACTTCTTAAAATACGGCTTTTTGCACTTTTTTCTTCATCTTCAATTAATTCCAGGCCTAAAATATGCCTACCTATTAACAGTGAGCTCAGAATACGAAATAGTAACAAAATTTACTGAATGGTAAATATTAATACCTAGGGAAATTTCGTTACCTCGACAGAATAGGCCTGTAAAAGTGTCTTCATCTGATTTAATTGAGCAAAGAAGTACGTTCAAATTTTGTTGCGGTGCAAATTTTCGGCTGCGGAAACGTTTAGGATGCTCCAGAAAGCCTTTGGGGACACAACCATGTCGCAGAAGAACGTGTATAAGTGGTACAAAAACTTCAAAAAGCGTCGGTAAAGTGTTGATGACTTTGAGCGTCCCGAACGTCCATCAACGTGAACTGATGTGCAACACGTCAATGAAATTATGGAATTAGTGCTCGTCGAAACCTTACTGATATGGTTAGAATATCAGAAGGATCTTTAAAAACGATTTCAAAAGACTATTTACTCCTACGAAAAGTCCAATCTCGTTTTATTTCAAAAACACGCAATTTCATGGAAAAAGTCGTTGCGTTGATGTGTGTGAAATCATGCTTTCTGATTACCAGGACAAGCTGAAATGCATGATTACAAGAGATGAGGATGAAATGACTTTCTGCTCTATCAAAAACTCAAGAGACCACTTCGAGCACACCGATTTGAGTTGATTGAGAAGTTTAAACGTGAATCGGCGCGCTCTCTGAAGGTCATACTAGAATGTGACTATTTGACATGCTTTGATAATTGGAAAAAGCGTTGGCATAAGTGCATTGCATTGACAGGGGACGAAATCGATATAGAAGAATGAATAAAGATTTTTACTTTTACAAACAAATTCACCGTACTTTTTGCTCACAGAGTATTTTAGTTTTTTTTTGTGCAGTGCTACAGTTTCGTATTACAATATATTTGGGTTAACCTTATGCTTGCGTAGCAATTTTTTTGTTTCACTTTTCCTTTTTATATTTTTTTTCGTTTTTCTTAATATTTTCTTTTTAAATTTTTTTTTTTAAATTTTAATTAAAAAAAATGTTTTATAAATTTTTTTTAAATATTTTTTTTTAATTTTTTTTTTAATTTTTAATTTAAAAGAAAAAATTTTAATTTTTTCAAATAATTTCTTTTTAATTTTTTTAAATAAATTTTTTTACATTTTTTTTTAATTAAAAATATTTTTTTTAAATTAAAAATATTTTTTTTTTTATTTTATTTTAATTTTTTTTAAATTAAAAATAATTTGTTCATTTATTTTTTTTTTCATTTTTTTCTTGCCTTAATCCACCTACCTTAATGATGTTCCATAATGTCCGTGTTAATGGATAAACACTCTTTAACACCAAACAACAAAAGTGCTTTAACTTAACTTAAATACAAATGTCAACAATAAAAAACAAAAAAAGTAAAGTTTTATCTTTTAAATAATAGAAAAAATAAACAAAGAATATACATACATACATACATAAATGCTACCATAAAACAATACTAAATATTACCGTTAACTAAATGTGTTCGTTAAATGCAAATCTATCTATACTGACTGTTATATACAGACATACATACATACATATAATACATACATACGTACAAACGTGTAGTAGTATTAAATAAGAAAAATGCTTTAAATGGTGTATTTTTGGTGAATAAATTTTTAGTGCGAAAAAATAAAATACTAAAAAATTTCAGCAAACGTTTTTGTTTTTCTTATACCCATTTGGGCAGGATTGGACAGCGGTGGCGCAATAATTAGCACACCCTACCATATTCCAATAGTACTGCTTGAAAATTGAATATAACGGTGTTTTCGGAAATTTTTGTTTTTTCTATTAATAAATTGGTTTTGTTTTTGTTATTTTCTTGCCGGGTTTTTTGTGTTGATTTCAAAGAAGTATTTCATAAGCCTTTTGTTTGACTGGGCGTGGCTGATTTTTTCGCCATCTGAATTACTTAATGAAACAAATTTTTAATGTTTTTGTGTTCTATCTTTTAATAAAGTAATAAAGCATTCCGTCCTTTAACTTGCCACGTCTCTTCAGTACAACTGCCTCACGCGTCTGACAACAAATTAGCGTCATACCGGCTGTTCATTGTTGTAGTTCGCTTTGGCAAGTAACCAATTAATAATATTTCCTCGGTATTCCAGAAAGAGGGGAGCTATAATATTCGGGCCGACTTTTTTTGGATGTTGACTTTATTGTGCAGATAACGGGCAAGCTAAGCTTTACGGTTTTTTGAAAGACTTACCGTTATCTCTAAACACCATCGCAGTTTTTCTATAGGACAATCGCCATGCCACAAGTCGAGGCCTGTGATCGTTTGCTGTATGGCCTGCTGGGGAATATTGCGGGAGTGACAATCCTTGGCCGTTCAGATATAAAGACCCGACCGTTGCTAGAACGCTTCTTACAGAGTTCAAACAGTCGTAGAGAGTTCAGGAAGGTTTTATACGGACGCTCGGTGAATGGCGTTTTATGGCTTTCGGTAAGACGTCCTGTTCAGCGGTTGCTGTAGGTGGTGCTGAATGCAGTTAAAGTCGAGTTCTCTCTGCCTGATAGGCCTTAGTGATAAATTTGACTTTTAGTAAGTATCTGTTAGGCTGTTCCCTTTGGCCTTAGGGTGTAATGCTCCTTAATTTGTGCCATAGATTAACGGGCCGGCTCACCGGTAGTGCCAGGCCAGAGCACGTCCGAAAGTGACACCGGTATAAGCTGCTAATGTTAACTGTTGGCCCAAACAGGGCTAGTTTGCCGAAAAGGTGACAATCTATGGTCGGATAAAATTCGGTACTTGCAACCGGTTGTCGTGACAGTTGTAGCGGCTCGCTAGTCCCGCTTTTAGGACTGCGCGGTATAGAGGTAATCTAACGAAATGTGCAGAAAACGAGCTTTTTCCGCGGGTTCGGACAAGCAGACCTACGAATCTCCGGTATTGAAGACGAAAGGAATCTACTTTTACATTTCTAATTTGTTGAAATTGTTTTTATGTTACTTTCAGTTTTGATTTCAAATTTTTCATTGGGCAATAAATTTTCTTTAAAAATAAAAAAAGAATTAAACAAAAATAAAGAAAAAACTCCAAAATTTGAACTAAAATATGAAAGTAACATAAAAACAATTTAAAAAAAGTTAAAAAATACAAGTTAAAAATGTAAAAGTAGATTCCTACAAATTCCAATTAAAGCAAAATTTAGCGAAATTTCTTTCATATTGATTTCTCTAAGGGAATCGTTTTTTGTTTATATTATTGCGACCAAAACTGTTTCAACTTGCAACTATTGCTGACTTATTGTTCGACGAATATTTTCACCAAGAACCATCAGCGGTTTTATTAAGTTTGGTAAAACTAAGAATTAAACGACTTTATTCATGACATGCTCTCCAGCAAGCAAATTTATTTCTACTACACAACAATTTGCAATTACAAAAATATATAGTAACTATGAAGCTTAATCTACCCGCCCGCTTTCAGCTGTACAATAAGCACTGCAACACCACTCATTGCACGAACTTAATTAAACCACCTTCACTTGACTAGTATCACGTTTTTCAATCATACGCATTTGTTTTTTCTTCAAACGTTTCAATTTCGATGGATTCTTAATTATTTGTACCACTTCAGCACGTCTTTCGTTGGCTAAACGTCGTTCAGCATTTTCAATGCGTCTTTGATTCTTTTGCACCGCAGCTTCTTTACGTTGCTCTTTGATATCGCGTGACATTTCCTTGATGTGTCGCAATTCATTACGCAGTTCCATCTTCTTTTCAAAAGTTAAGCGTTGTGTAGTCTTTTTGATTGTAGTGAATCTGTTGGTAGAAATTGTTTTTAATTGTTAATCGTTATATATGTATTAAATGCAAATATTACTTCTGCTTTGGTGTCTTCCATGGGCGTCCAGATTTCGGTAGACCACGTAAAGGGGCATCCACCTCTGGCTTCTTTTTCTTTTGCTTTTTTGCTGCAGAATTTGCGGTTTTTGTTTTAGATTTTTGTGAAACGGCAGTATCTTTTGTTTCCTCTACTTCCTGCGCTTTGTCTGCTTCTGGCACCTCTTCGGCTACAATTTCTTGTTTTTCTTCCACCATATCTTCAAAGTTTTACTTGAATATTTATATAAAATAAATTAAGCAATTGTTATTTTTTCAATGACTACACGTGTTGTTATTATGATTGAAATTGACAGTTCTTAAACCCACATGTGGTATGTAAATTATGATCCAGCTTTTGCACATGGTTGCATTTTATATATTTTGTTATGTTTTTCCACAGAACGTATTGCATTTTATTTGACGTTTTCTGGTTCATTGATGGATTTAAATATCGGATTGGTTTTGGCTTTTGTCGATTATAAGCAGCTGAGCCACATAACTTTAGCTTTATAAATTAAGTTTAAGTATTTATTACATGTATAACAAGCTTCGCATTTGTTTTTTTGTCATAAAGCCTTAACAGAAGTTTTTATTTATATGTAACAGAATATTGCTTTCAAATATGTATCGACATGGTTTTTTTTATAAAAATATATTAACACCTAGCATTCAAATATTAAATATTTTATGTACATAATTGGTCACTAATTCTTACTACCAGCAGTTAACGTTAACATCCGGGTCCAGGACAGTGAAGGCATACGAAGCTATTAGCTACCAAAATATTGTTAAGAGGTACAAATGACTAAATTAAATCGGATAATGTATTTAAACTTCATTCCACTCCACAACCTACAAGACCCTCTTATCTCAATCTCGAAATAAGGATTTACTACAAATATTCCTTTGGATTATAAGTTTTTGCTTTTAACATGAACCAATGTATACTATCACAATATCACTCAAGCACCATTCTCTTTCCGGTTTATCATTAATAGAGCCTCGTTGTGTTTTTCTACATTATAGTGATAAAAGAATGATTTACTGTACTCAAAAGTTGAAATCATTATGGCACAAGCTGGTGCAACTTTCAACAAACGTGGCCAGAGACCAGCAAATAAGCCGCGAACGCCATTTAGACGATATATGGACCAGAGGCGCTGTCGTACATTCATGTTAGTAGCGTTAGCTACCGGTTTGTCTGAAATAAATGTAAAAGTAATAACAAAGAAATACAATCGGCACGAAAATATATGATTTCTAACCTGTAAAGAGAACTTTTTCGCCAAATTCAATTTGCTCATGAGTTTTGACAACATCGAAAGGTGTTGTAACGGTCGCTGCTATCTGTAATATTTGTTTGCGAAAAGAATCATTGAGATTAGATAGCAAATTTTTAGATACAAAGATATCAAAATAAGTGATCGCAAAAGAAAAGAAAAAAAAAAAACAAATTAATACTAAGAAAATAAATACTCAACTTACATTGTAGTAATAAATAATCTTATACTTACCGAGCCAGATATTGCCCCTGCCATAAAGCTAAATCCAAATGTTGGCTCCCGCACATCGAACATACTTTTGATATTTTCATAACATGTCCAGTATATACCGGAGAAGGGCACGTCACGCAGTATTGTTGGTGGTAAACCACGAAACAAACCGAAGAAACCCTGAGTTCTCATAACCAAACGTATAGTGGATAACATTTCACTATAGCTCATTTTCTGTGACTGCATCTTTGTACGAACCAGCTCTATGGGGCTCACAAAGGTGACCGCACAAACACGCGCTGACACACCGCTGAGCATTGGTATATGGAAGGGTATCTCTCGGCCGCGTGGCGAGCCCTTCACCTCAGCTAAATATTTATAATGAAATTCGAGAGCATGCATTTTGAATTGCTCATAGGCGACAAAGTAAACAATAGTAGATGGTAAAGCTGAAACTAATGTTGGACTAAGGCCAGACCATAACGAACTGACACCTTCATGACGTGCGATTTTCACAAATGCATCCTATATTAAATGTAAGTATATAATTAGAGCTAATTATTAATTAAGCTTTCATATGTATGTGTCCTTATATGAGCATACCACCGTGCCATTCAAACGTTTCTCTGGCTTGAGTTGATTAGGCATATTAGGATCACAAGGGCATAAGTGATCCATAAGGCCATTACAATATAGGAAGCACTTATTGGTGGTGGTCTGTTGAGCTTGTAGGCGGGTTTTTACAACATCCAGCGGTGTCACTGTTGAATTACATAAATTTTATCAACCATCATATATATGAGTATATACAATGAAAACTTACTGAAACATGCTGTTATAAGCGCTCCAGTACAGGCAGATACTACCTGCTGTAGTGGTCTTATACGAAATCTGGGATCATCAAATAGTATATTTTTCTTCGGTGCCGCCTCTAAATTCATTTTCAAATTTATGCGCACGTTTGTTGTTCAGGAATGAAGTGCAATGAAAAGTGAAAAGCCGGCACGAACAGAACGAGATTGTGATAAAATCGAATTATTAAAATTGCCGCTGTCACTTTCAACTTTTATAATGTACACTATATTGATATATTTCCACTTTAGTTGCTATCCTGATCGGTTTCTTGAGTGTTTTGTAAAAAAACAAGGGCTAACTAGAAGAATTTCACAATGGAGGAATTTGTAAAAAGATATTTTACTTTATTTTGACATTCATGTTTGATAGAATCAGAGAACGTATAACATTTACATTTACATATATTTACGTTCTCTGATAGAATTTTCATGATAACAAATATTGCGGTTGGTAGGGTTGCAATAACGTTGAGTGGTACCAAAAACGTATATGAATTCATATACGTTATTTGTCCCGCACAAGTTAATTTTCTTAAAATCTAAAATCTAAACATGATTAGAGTTGTTTTAAATATTTGGTTAGGTTCTTGTATTTTTATATATACACATTTTTTTACTAGTTGCATTAAGTCCTCCAAGTTAAATTCCTCGTCTATTCCAAAGAACGTATATGAATTCATATACGTTCTTTGCTATTACTAATTTAGTAGTAACAAGTCCAAATAGGCAGACGATTGATAAACATGGAAGCACTGAACTTATTTTGTTTTGTTATTATTGCTCATTTCCTTATTCACAATTTCTGTGTATTGGACGAGAAACAGTAAATTTTTATTACAAAATTGGTTAAATGGAATAAAATTGATTTATATATAGGAAATAGCATACTATCGCAATATAAAATACAATCAAAAGTTGCGTGGTGCCTTTGCGAGCTTTTTAAAAAGATTTTCTATATTTCTGAATGCGATTGTGGCAATATAATAATCTCGATTTGCCTTCAACATGATGGACGATTCCTTGGATTTTGGAGGCGGTGGTGATAAGAATAACACAGACGACAAAATAAACAACAAAAATATTAAAATGGAGGACAACGAAGAGCAAAGTCAGGATTCCAGCCTGGTATGTCGATATAATAAAAAAAAAACGTTTAAACTTACATAGATATGTGTCGAATAACTCCAATCTAATTAAATTCAACAGATGAATAACTCGCAAAGTGTCTTAGAGAAGATTGCCAACTTGTATGCCGAACAGTTAATGTCTGATATAATTTTGGTAGTGGGAAATGAACAGTATCCAGCTCATCGTGTAATACTCTGTGCCAGTAGCGAGGTATTTCAGGTAATGCTTATGAATCCGGAATGGAATGAATGTCGTAAGCATGTTATCGAACTGGTTGAAGAGCCCTGTTGTACGGCTGTCTTCCCACAATTTCTTAAATATTTATATGTGGGACAAATAAAAATTTCGCTGCAAACTGTAATGCCAATGCTTGCTCTAGCAGACAAATACAACGTTAGGGTGGGTAAAAAATTTACATACATATTCAGTAAAATAAATTTGACTAGTATGAAAGTCACATACTTTACCACTTTCGCTCTTCTCTTCACAGGATCTCGTCGAGTTGTGCGTTGACTATATGATGAAGCACATCGCCAAAGCCGCTACTCAAGGCTACCTTGTGTCCTGGCTACAGTATACAATTGCTTTTAGTCCCTACCATAAAGAACTCACCGAAACATTGAAACGTTTTTTAAAATGGAATTTGGAAATGGTGAGCGAATCAAAAGACTTTGTAGAATTAGATGCTGCAATCATGGTGGTACTACTACAACAAAATGACATAGTGGTAACCAGTGAATATCAATTGTTTGGTATATTGCAACGTTGGCTACTGCATCGTAAAGAAGTGTATGACAATGACGACACACTTACAGTGGAAGAAAAAAATAATTCATTCTTACAATTGGTTGAACAAACCGTTGTGCATATACGATTTGCCATGATGACGCCGCGTGAACTGGCGCATTTACTACTCTTCCCATTACTTGAGTATCACAAGGAATATATTGTGCAACGCATGGCCATAGGCGAGTGATGTTTTGATTTAAAACTGCAAAACTTAAGTCCAATTTTATTGATTGCATATAATTTGTGTTTCCTAATAGGCATGAGTTATCAATCTGGTCAAGAGGATCGTGTGCGTGAAGTGCGTTATTCACCTGAGGGCATGCTGCAATTCACACCGCGTCTCTACTCCAACGATACATGGAGTGTTAGTATACATGTGAAGGAGTTTGATCAAATCGAAAAGTACACAAACTATGTGACGTGCTTTTTTTCACAGCGAAATATAGCCGAAACGGAAGATGGTGAGTGATAACAGTATTAAATAATTTCCTCTATAATTAATTTGACGCTTAAATACCTGCAGATCATACAATTACATGGGAAATTGAATTCTTTCCACGTGGCGTGAAATATAATAAAGCGAAAATCATTTGGGGTGAAGATGTGCCAGAGTTTTCATTGAAAACTGTGCGTTTGCGCGTCACTTGCAAGTATCCACAGCTAGATGAAGAGCGTTTTAAGGTTAGTTACTATAAATAGTTAATTAATTTTTTTTTTATTTTTATATTATTTTTTTTATATTTATTTTATTTACCATCAGGTTGCTGTACTCATCACTGGTGTACAAAATAAAATCGATCATATTCTCACTGTACACGAACGTACCGAATATTTTTCGAATAAAGTGCGTGTCCTAAATGTGGACAATCTTATACCCTACGATGAATTGGCGTTATCTTCCATTAAATTGAGTCCTCATCTCATCGGAGCTGAGCGTAATAATTTGTCAATACAAGTGATTATAGCACCGATGGGCCCATATACGTGTCGTGATGCGCCACCATTTGATTTTAAGTGAAAAGGCAATGCACTTTAGTTTGTAAGATTGTATACATAATATGCGGTAGGTGTGAATATGTATATTGAAAACCACTTAAGTTAGTTTAACATAATTAAATTGGAATTATTTTAAGTGTATAATTACGAAGAAATTTCTCGTGTTTTATTTGTTTCGATATAAAATCATTAATAGATTTTAATTAATACTGTTTTTGCATGAGATATGGTATATTGCAATAAAATTAAAACAAAAAACAGTTGTGTAAATTGTGGAAATGAGTTTGTAATTGTTTAAATAATATTTACAATGTTCTTCAAAGACACATTTGTTAGAAAGCATTAAGTAATCGCGTATTTCTATTGCTTCATGATGTGTTAATATGTGTTATTCTATTTACATTTTCTTATTTGTATGTGATGAGTAGTCGTGTATGAATTCGCATTCTTTGACGTAAAGTCTGTGTGCTATAAACCTCCAAGCCTGCTTATCAATTGCTCGTTAACACTGTAATACAGCTAGTTAACGTTTTTTTTTTGTTTACTATCCATTTTTTTTTTAAATGCAGTGATGTGTCTGGAAATTCGTTGTACTGTATATTTGTAATTTTAACTGAGCACCTGCGACAAATTTACATTATTTTTTGTTAAAAGCAAAAACAAAGTTGGAGAGGCCTCAGCTTTAAATGAAATTTAAACAAAATTATTTGCGTAGGTTTTATATGTACTTATACATATGTACATATGTATGTATGTAGTTGCAACACGTGCGTGCCTCCATATGCGTATATTCATATTTAATTAAAGATTTTTAATTATTTTCTCTGTTTACTTTGCTGAAAAGCTCTGAGACTGACTACGAGGGGCTTAACGAAAGTTCGGTAAGTTTACTAGAAAAAAGTAAGTTTTAAAAAAAGTTTTTATTCGTAATCTTTGTCCTTTTTTTAACATCACTACATAACCGCTATTGATTTCAATGCATTTCTCAAGCCTTTAGATCCACTGCTGAAAATAGTCTCCAAAATCTTACTTTTTAAGCTTATCAAGCTCAGCATCAATCGCATTAATTATCTCTTCGTTGCTATTAAAGACATTTTCTTTTATTTTTTTAAAATTTAGTAATAACCAAAAATTACAAGGTGTTATATCAGGGGAATATAGAGCTGGACGTATATCTTCAAACTCAGAGAACGCAATAAAATTAATCCTTATTTCAGCAGTGTGTGATGGCGCGTTGTTATGATGAGAAAAGTAGTGCCACAAATCCTACACTTAAACTTTTGGTAAGCACTCTTTGGTGTACTATTTCACAGTTACTGCCCGACCTTTTTCTAGTGGGGTAGCAGGTACGAGTTAAGATCGGGTGAAGTAAACTGACATCATTAATTTTGCTGCTCATTTTTTTGCTTAGATTTTACGGATTAGTTTGCTACTTTTGGGCTCCATACCATGGTTTCTGGATCGTACTTATAGAACCAAGATTCATGACCAGTAACGACTTTACTAAAGTTGCTAGATGGGCCATTTTCGTATTTGTTTAGCAAGAATTGAGCAAAATGAACTCGAGACTGTTTTTTGCGTCTCATTTAGAATTTGTGGCGCGTGTATCCAAAATAATTACTTAATATTCACGGTACAGCCATGGTATTTAGCCCAATTCATTAACAATCATTTTTTGTGTCCATTGTGGGTCTTCGTCGAATTTTAGACTTCATCAAAGCTACAGTGGCGTCATCAGTGGAAGATTTCGGCCGACATTCTCAGGGCTCGTCCTCTACGGAAAAATGTGCGGCCTGGCTGCTTTGGAACCACTCAGAAATAATAAGGAAGATTCAATCGTTCCATATTCAATTTGGCATTCACTGAATATTTGTATTGGCTGTAAATTACACTGTAACCCGCAGAGAATCACTGGGCGAACTTTAATTTGCTTTGGTGGTGAAATTTCGTCTGAACTATCCTCATTTATCTTTCGTTTTGTGGTCTCCATTTTAGCCGATCGTTCTAAAATTTGTATGGAAGACTAACTGAACAAACTGAAAATCCCCAGCTGATCGAACTTTTGTTAATCCCCTCGTCACCTTTTACAGGTAGTTAACACTATGCTCTCTATAGGTCTATCTTCTCTAATGAAAATACTATATTTCTTATTATTTAATCCCACATCGTGACAGCTTTATACTTAAGATGTGGTAACTTGCGTAGTTACAAGAAGTGCGTACCTTCATATGTGTATGCGTATATACATACGTGTTGCTGAGCTATCGACAAGCGAATTAAAATTATCATTTAATTTCGCACTTTTTTGTTTTTATCTTTTAAGCGGTACCAAAGATTACGTTTTATTGTATAAAATAAAATAAAGTGAATTTAAGCAAACGCGTTGTTTTTCACGCCCAATTCCAAAAGTAGTAGTAGAGGGAGTGCTAATATCGTAAGCGGATTCGAAAATCATGGAATTCGTGTGATTTTTTTGATATTCTCGCCGACTCATTGTCCACTTCTTCATGGCAGGACATTTACAACAGTAATCTGCGAAATCCACGACTAAACTCGACTCGATGTCAAATTAATAAACCAAACTTACTGGGTATCACATTGGTCAGGCTACCCAGCACTCCTTCACTACGCGCACGATCGCAATTGACACTAAAGTAGTGGCAACAAAATCCTTCAAACCGTTAACCGATATCGGGAGCATTTCAATAGATATTTACTGAAGGCTGAATCTCCACATGAGGAAGGGCATACTAGACTATATCGACTCCATCAGCTGGACAGGACGGCGTACACATGTAGCTTTAATGCCATTGAACGAGCGTCCGTCAACACCTACACGAAGATCGCTCACGGAATCCAAGTACCAGTTATTGCCGACCATCAGATCGAGCAGCCTAGTGAGGCCCTATTAACAAGCGGCTAAACTAAGAACTGCGTATTGTATTTGACTTATGTAGACTTGAGCGCGTGTAAAACCAACTCATCTAACTCATTTTTCCTCCGATACGAACTCGCCTAAACAATCCGGCTTCCTTCACTATGTAATTATTCAAGCAGTCAGCTGATGTCACGCTCATTCCATTGTAATTGATTTGCAGCTCCGCCTCGCCAACTTTGTGTGTTTGGTTTGCGCTGGAGAAATGTTCCTTCAATAAATTTAATAAACTCTGAGCGTCAGCTACCAGATCGTGTTTTTAGTTCATACGATGAAAATGCTTCGGTCTTGAAAGCATCAGTTAATCTTCTAATTTTTGTAAAATGTTCAAACATTTCCCAGTAGGCCATCTCTTCAAGTTCTTCTAACTCCCGCATTTCCGTCTTTACCTTTTTCCTTCAGCAGATGCATTTCGGGTCCCTCTTCAACTGGCGGTAGCATTTTTTTTACCACTGACAACCTCTTTCGTCGTGTTTGTCCAAGCCCAATGCAGCTCACAGAGTGTAGGAGAGCAAACCGAGTAAAAAACTGTTAGGCTGGTGAGTAATTGTTGGCTGCACATCAGCGCGTGCATATTTTGGCTTTGACTCCACACGACGTGTATGATTTTTCGTTTATCACGCCATGTTCAATTTGTTTCCTAGTCTTTTTGTGCACCGCTATATGACCGGTGTAGCGAATGCCAAATGCACCCACCAGTTTCCGTTCTTGACTCGTTGGTCACAATCCGTAGTTGGCGACAATGTCAACCAGCTGGACAAGGGCACTTTCCCAATTGCGAAACCAGACGTTCCAAGTGCATGCCGTCAACTCGTAGATCTTAAAGCTCGGGGAAGCGGTCCAGACGGTAGCCAAGACCAGACTGACGGCCAGGAAGGTTTTGCTGTGTGTTTGGTGGGATTGGCAAGGAATAATCTACTACGAGCTGCTGCCCTGTGGCCAAACGCTCAATTCGTCCCTCTACTGCCAAGAGCTCGAGTGGGAGGTCCTAATGCACCCACCTTATAGTCCAGACCTGGCACCAAGTGATCACCATCTTTTCCTGTCCATGGCGAACGCGCTTAATGGTGTGAAGTTGGTCTCAAGAGGGGCTTGTGAAAATTGGCTCTCCGAGCTTTTTGCCAATAGACACGCAGCCTTCTACGAGAGGGGTATAACGAAGTTGGCATCTCGTTGGCAACAATTTTACGAACAAAACGGCGCATAATTGACTTAAATCGGACAAATGTACAAAAAGTTATCATATTTTGAAAAATATAAATAAAAACCGAACGAACTTTTTACTTGAACTAATATCTCTTCGCACGGACTCCCATACAACAAAAAATACGATCCCAAATGATTTCCAACAGCTGCCTAATTCAGACAGAATTTGTTTCACATCCTGCTTTAAGCGCCAAGCAAAAGCATAATTGGGCTTTCCACAAGGCAATCGAATAACCAATTAAGAGAAGTCCAAAGGTCTGGGCCGGGTTGGACTTCCGAATAGCTAAATCAATGAATGTTCGATAAATTTCACAAATCCTTCACTTCATAGCAACCTTCAAAGCATTTTATATTGCCTCCCTTTACTTGCACTTGAACTGTGTTTTTTATGTATATATGTATATATATATTTACATAGTAAATTCGACAATTTTTCACACTTGGCCTTGAGTATTATTTGTTTATCCTCACTCATCGAGATAATATGCAAATGTGTTTACTAAAGAGGCATATCAGTGGTCTTAGCTAAAATAAACGGAGAAAGTGATTTAAGAAGCTGTGTTTGCTGCCATTTATGTTTTTGTATATGCAGATAAACTTAGGCATGTGTATGTAAGCATATGTTAACACATATATGCCACAATAGCCGAGAGGTGAACATTGCGTACTGTCATGCTGAAGGCCAGGGTTCGAGTTCTAGTTCGACAAATTTATTTCTCTAATTGCGGTCGCCGCTCGGCAGGGTCAGGTCAAGCTCTCCGAGTATACACGTATTTATGACATGAAAACATTAAAAAAAAAATTCATCGTCCGTCCGGAGGTGGCTTTGAACAAACTGTAGGTCCCTTCATTTGTTGGGAAACCATGAAGACGCAAAACCACTAATTGGAGAAGGAGCTTGGCCGAAAACCGTTGTAGTGGTTACAAAGCGCCAATTATAAGATTTAAAAAATTTTCCACGTCTAAGATTTTAAGAAGTATTTTTGGCAGGAGGCGCTTGGCCGGTTACAAATGGCTAGTTACATAAAGACTTTCGAATAAAAGGTGTTGGTTTAGAATAGCAGCCTGCTATTCCGGTAGATGTCGCCTTTGAAGCTGTAAATTTTTGACATTTGACAT